TTTCTCGCCTACCTCTTGCCCGTTTCTAATCCATCGCACCATATTCGGCTTACGAGGCTCGCCGTCGGCTTCGCACTCAAGCACAACAAGTTCACCCTCTGACGCTATTATAGGAGATGAGATGCTGATAACCTGAACGCATATAAGATCCCTATCGACTAATGCAATGAAAACCCTGTCGAGTATAGTGCACGGGTCAGTAAAATTCTATACATTTTACGAATTCTTTTTCCTACACTTTTTTCAAGTGGGATTGAAGGACAGGGTTTTCATTGCATTAGTCGATAGGGATCTTATATGCGTTCAGGTTATCAGCATCTCATCTCCGATAATCGCATCAGAAGGTGAACTTGTTGTACTAGAGTGCGAAGCCGACGGCGAGCCTCGTAAGCCGAATATGGTGCGATGGATTAGAAACGGGCAAGAGGTAGGCGAGAAAGGAATTCAAAGATATTTTCAGGACAGTCAAGAACATTTAAAACCAATGTCAGCGGCCCATAGGTTTCGGCCCTACCCTAACCCGATTTTCGACTGGTTGCGAGGCATTCAAGGAGTGGTGCGAAAGGTTGAAGCGGCGCTGCAAAAAGCTTGCGCCGCTAGCTCACCTCGACTGACTTCAGTGATAACGAATGTAATTTTCCTCGGAGCTTACTTGAGCAGTGGCGATGGCCTGCCGTTGTGCAGAGGGTTTTATTTACTGAATAAGTCCACTGGGGACGCCGAAACTGAACATCACTGCCTCACTTTCAGCAAATCTGTCGCACATTCGCAAAAATTCCTCATTGAAATCGCAAAAAAGACAAAAGTCTGCAAATGTTACACAGTGAAGATGTTACACAGTCATCAAATCACATTTTTTGTATGAGTCGTATTTTTTGTACGAGTCGTATTTTATGAATGTACTTTCGAATAAAAATTCACTTCCCCAGTGCAGCACTCACAAAACTCGTCGTTCTATTCAAGCATTACCAGTAGTACATGAACATTTTCAGATTCCCGCTATAAGGAAGAGTGAGACTCATGTGTCGCTGCGACTGAACGCTACGAAAGAAGCCGCAGGGCAATACGTCTGCCGAGCTGACAACGGTATCGGATTTCCAGGAGAGGGAACGGCCTACCTCTTGGTGAACACTGCACCTAAGATCATGGCTCTACCTTTTCTTTCACGAGCTGCTGGACCTTTAGGTACAGTCTCAAAAACACTTTCGCTTTTTTCTTGAGATCCTTGTTAGCTCTAGGCAAGTTTTTTGCCCGGTGTAACAGTGTAGATTATTAGACACGGCTTAGTCATTGTAACAAAGTAAGAGCTACCAAAGTGTCCTAAGACATTAATGAAAGCGAAGATGCCTAGATTCCACTGATTACAATTGTTTTTGTGATCTTATTACTGTATAGATACCATAATTCAATAGGTAAACTGGCTCCAGTAGCAATGAACGTTCTTCCTTACAGGAGGACGTGCTCGTGCTCGATGTCGTGCTCATGCTGTCCCTGATGCGGATTTCGTTTGGGATCGAGCAGGCGAGATTATTCAAGGCAATAACACGAAATACGGAATGTTCTCAATACAACTCGACTATTCTACATTCGAAGTAGATTTTTTCTCAGTTTTGTATTTTTTTAGAATTTTTCACCGTGCAATTTTACAGAGTACTTTATGGATAAGCAACTTATCACCGGACGATTACTCTCACGACATTAGATGTACGGCAAGAAACAGCTTTGGAACGGACAGCATTCATATTCCGGTTAGAATTCAAATGAAATTTGAAGTTCATAAACCTTTCTTCCATTGCTTTCCCAGTCCTTCTAAAAAACAGAATTGACCATAAAAATCAAGGCTTTACTAAGCAGCGCAATTGAAAAACAGAAGTGTATGCGCCGTTCCATTTGTTCGGGAATAAAAATCAGCGAAAGCCCCGAAAGTGCTTCAGATAAGACCCTCCCAGCTTCAAATTAGAGACGACGAACTGATGGGGATTCCGGGCGAGAGACCAAGCAGGAGCAGCGAAACAAGAGCGAGCGATCGATATGGCTTTATTTCAGTGTTCTCCGCGATAACGCGCGTCGCGGCGCGTAGTCGCTCTACCATTGCAACAGCTCTTCAAATCGCTGTGCGGCTGGCGAGGGCACCTAGTTGTACTCAGTGGAGTCTGAGCTGTTCACATTGTGGAGACCTGTAAATTACTGTAACTACAGAGTGACTCACTTGTACCACTTCGAGCTTCGAAATAGTTCTCAGGTTTCTTGAAAGTGTGGTCTGTTAGTGGACATGAACTAGCAAAAAGAACTAGTGAAATTGCAAAATGCCCCTCCCAAGCATACCAGCACTTCTGTCTGATGCTATAGACGGGAACGCAGCAATAGGCGGGTATCGATCGGCGCCGTCCGCTAGTATTTCGGGAGAGAATATAGGAATAGTAGGGCACCAGACTGCGTGATCAGGCAACGCGCCCCTCCTATTCTCCTATGCTCTCTCAAACGCTGATGGCCGGCGCCAATCGATGCTGGTATACGGCTGCATTCCCGTCTCCAATATTCGAGCCCTATTGCATTGGTGGAGCGATGACGCGCTATGACGCGCGTCTCAGCGCGACGGAATCGCGAAGTCTGCATGCTATCCGCTACAGCCGACAGTCCTGACGGAAGATGCAGTGAATCCAGCCGACTGATGCACCCCATCGTCTGCAGCAAACGATGCATAGAGACACAGAGATATATATATGTGAGAATCATAGCATCCTTCAAAAGATTTTTCGTTCTTCAGATTGGACCACCCTCTCCACCGGATGCCCCGCTCGATATTCACGTTACAAATGCAACTTCGAATACGATTTCGATATCATGGACACCCGGTTTTGATGGCGGTTCTGACCAGACATTTGAAG